CAGCTGGCGCAGCTTGTATTTTGTCATCCCAGTCAAAACACCCCCATATCCGGGGCAAATAGGAAAGTCCCCAGACCCTCGACGCACCTCAAGGGCGAAGACAACCTCATACCTGGTTGATACCTGGTTGATGGGGTTCTGGGAGTTCTTCTACTCCCCAAGCCCGGCCTGAGGCCAGGCTTGACTTGTGAGAGTTTGGTCCACCAGGCTGTTGCTTGGAGCGGCCCGCAGGCCCACATACCCACCACAGCCCGGTTGGTCCGGCACTCCTTGGAGGAATAAATCTAGTTTCCTCTTGAAGATGTCCACGATTGTTCCGGCAATATTTCTTATGCTTGCTGGGAGGACGTTGAACAACCGCGGACCTCTGATGTTTATACAGTGTTCTCTGATTGTGCCTATGGCACCTCTGCTCTTCACTGGTTCTATTCTGCATTTTCTTCCATATCATTCACTCCAGTACGTTGTTATTTTACTGTGTAGATTTGGTACTTGGCCCTCCAGTATCTTCCAGGTGTATATTATTTGATATCTCTCTCGTCTTCTTTCTAGTGAGTACATTTGGAGGGCTTTGAGACGATCCCAATAATTTAGGTGCTTTATTGCGTCTATGCGTGCCATATATGTTCTCTGTATTCCCTCTATTTCAGCAATCTCTCCTGCTCTGAAGGGGGAAGTGAGTACTGAGCAGTACTCAAGACGGGACAACACAAGTGACTTGAAGAGTACAACCATTGTGATGGGATCCCTGGATTTGAAAGTTCTCGTAATCCATCCTATTATTTTTCTGGCTGTCGCAATATTTGCTTGGTTATGCTCCTTAAACGTTAGGTCGTCGGACATTATTATTCCCAAATCCTTTACATGCTGTTTTCCTACTATGGGTACATTTGATTGTGTTTTGTACTCTGTATTATGTTTAAGGTCCTCATTTTTACCGTACCTGAGTACCTGGAATTTATCACTGTTAAACATCATGTTATTTTCTGATGCCCAGTCGAAAACTTTATTAATATCAGCTTGAAGTTTTTCAATGTCTTCAGCTGAGATAATTTTCATACTGATTTTGTGTCATCTGCAAAGAATGATACAGTACAAAGCTGTGACTTGTATTTTTGTCTATATCTGATATGAGAATAAAGAAAAGCAGCGGTGCAAGGACTGTACCCTGAGGTACAGAGCTTTTAACTGCACTTGGACTAGATTTTATATGGTTGACCGTTACTCACCGAGTCCTGTTTGACAGAAAACTGGGTATCCAGCATCCTACTTTACCGATTATTCCCATTGATTTCATTTTGTGTGCTATCACGCCATGGTCACATTTATCGAAAGCCTTTGCGAAGTCCGTGTATATCACATCAGCATTCTGTTTTTCTTCTAATGCCTCAGTGACTTTGTCGTAGTGTTCAAGTAGCTGTGAGAGGCACGATCTTCCCGCTCGAAATCATGCGAAGAAGTCTTCAATATGGAGTGATTCCCAAACACCCCAGGAAAGATAACCCTGACACACAAGGGTAGTACTTACGGAACACCTAGGGAAGGTAACCTTAGGCGCATGCAGCTCCTGTACACTAAGACACCTGGAAACCACACACAGCTGGAACAGCAACACAGGGCAAAAATCCAGAACAGGACGTTGAGGCCAGAGTTGATAATCTGACTGCCAGCACATCAGTTCAAGAACTGAAGTGGTGGACTGCTGGGTCCCCCTTCCTCCTATGGGGAGAGGGGGGGGGTAGCAATAATGAGCGGGAGTGCTAATTGCATTTAGTGTTGCTCGTTTGTCTTCTTTCTACGCGAGATATTTTTATCTTTTAGGACGTAGATTGTACAGGGTAACAGACAGTGGTCTGTTTTGATTCATCTACCTTTCTGGGTCCTTCCCCAGTCGATTGCAAGTATGACACTACATATAAGGGGCATAACTGGCCGACCCCTCACAGTGTTCAAGAGAGAACTGGATAAGCACCTCCAAAGGATACCTGATCAACCAGGCTGTGACTCATACGTCAGGCTGCGAGCAGCCACGTCCAACAGCCTGGTTGATCAGTCCAGCAACCAGGAGGCCTGGTCGACGACCGGGCCGCGGGGACGCTAAGCCCCGGAAGCACCTCAAGGTAACCTCAAGGTAACATACAGTACTTTTAAATGTAAAGTACTCATAAGCCATTGCTCCCTGTGCCTCTCTGAGGGGGCCAGTTTCTGACTTGTGGTCTTCAGTAGGCAAAGGACTCCTGTGACTCCCCAAACTAATAAAGCACTATATCAGTTCGGATAGCTTCAGGGAGCCGACGGGGCTCCCCACAGAAAAAAAAAATCCACGAAAAAAGGCAGAAGCACTCCTTCTGACCTAGCTGACAAGGTCACAAAGAGGGAGACAAGGCAAATTTGGAACTCCTCAAATGAACCCCAAAACTCTTAACCCTCTCCCACCACACAAGAGGAAGGGATAAGGTCAGCCATTATAACCCCCTTAGAGCACAAAACTGGGAGGGAGATGGGATAGGTATGACCAGACACAAAGAGCTTTAACCACTTCAAAGCCAAACCCCCAGAAACATTGTATGAAACCAGGAAGTTGCAATCTATCCCAGGAAGAACAGTTCCAATAGGTGCCTCTACCAACACATTCACTTCCACCAAATCGGTATGAAACACCAGCCAACAAGCTTGAAGAGAAAACTGAACCAAAGCCACAATAGACATTGCAGAGGATGGGGTCTGAACAGATAATACCCTCAGTATAAAGCAATTCCCTCAAAAAATTGCTCAAGTGGCCGACGAGCAGCGACTTCACCCTATACCAGTCTCTGATGAAACTGTTCTGCAGTATCACGAGACATTGTTCATCATTAATTAATTTAGCAGCCTAGGACTGCAATGCTTGGATAGCAAGGCAATGATACATAAAGAAGGTCACAACCTTCTGACCAGCCCATCAAGAAAAAAGGGCATAAGGCCACAGCTGCCAGAAGAGGATAAGGCACCAGCTGCTGCCATAAGGGCACAGGCCTATGGTTAACATCACAAAAGGCCATGGTGCAACCTGTGAAGCTACAAGCAGCAAAATCTGGCCCCAAGTTGGTTGGAAACACCAACTCCTTCCCAGCCAACAAAGATCATGAGGTAAATAGACCTTATATGGACACAACCAGTACTGGTTACCTCGACTGCTATGCAAACAGAAAGGCATGCCAGACAAGGAAAACATGTAGGCACATTGCATCCCAATTTGATTAGCCCAGGAAGGAAAAACATAGAAAAACCCAGATAAGGAAGAATCTGTTATGCGACTTAAGAACACATTCGGCCAAGCATAAAGCAAGTGCATGGGTATCATGACCAGGAGCTAATTATATGCAAACACACAGCAAATTACATTAACTCACCAACAACAGGCCTAACTGTGGAGAGCTATTCTTACACACCACCTGGAGGCAAAATATCATACGAGGAGTCAACTAGCAAGGAATGAAACCTCACCTTTTGCAGCAGGAATCTCTGGTCGAGTAGAACAAATGCAAGGAGGCTATCAGAGAAAATAATCCTGGCACATAGGGTACACACAATGTGGGTGGAACATTGATCACGAGACTCGCTAGACAAAAACAAAAAACAATTAGGCAATGGCTCCTTGTGGAATTACTGTTCCAGGGATAGCCAAAACCATTCAGCTGAAAGGAGCAGCAGCTCTCAGATCCAGGCAGAGACGTGCACACCAGATGAGTAAGTGTAGTGGGTGGCAACAATCATTAGTTTTGTTCACCTCATATTTCATGTTTTTCTTCAAGCAGTAGCTTGTTTTGTTTTGCCTAACTTGTTTGGTGTAAATTCCTTGGTTTTAGGTAAGTTTTCTGATCCCCCAAGATTCCCCTCACCTCAAAGAAACAACTTCTGGTCCTAGCTTCCAATAACTGGTCCTAGCTTCCAATAAGTTAGCGTGAGTCTCAGAGGCCTTGTATACTTTTAGGCTCAGTTATACCAAGTGACTGAGTGGGGCCTCCTCATAAAATTGCTCAAGTGGCCGACGAGCAGTGACTTCACCTTACACCAGTCTATGATGAAACTGTTCTACAGCATCATGCAACCCATCCTCCGAATTGACAGTACAATTTAATATTAAGTGTAATAAGTACATTTTCTTACTGTCATAACTGTGCATAATTACACTTATGGGGCTGTTACATTTACCCAACTCCCTCCCCCCATTTAATTCTCCTCGTTTTCTGTTAAGATGCTCAGAATTTTAGGATGAAGTTTTCAATTTCAATTTGCTATACACAAGTTTTAAATATCAGGAATTTCTTTTTCAGGTTTATTAAACAATAGAGATTTTATACAAAATTTTAAAATATCCTGAGTTACTTTACAATTTATTGACATATTTTAGTTTTGTTTTATTAGTTTTATAAAACTGTAATATCAATATAGCTATAGGTTAAGTACTAATTGTAATTAAGAAGCAATAAAATTATTATCTTCAAAATCTAAGACGGTTAGGTGAGGTTGTGGTTTTCTATTCAGTTTTTCAGGTAAACTCAAATATTCACAATATATTTGACAGTACGATTTAATACTAAGTGAAAATAAGTACAATTCCTAACTGCTATGAATAGTACACAATTGCACTTATTTGTCTCCTTACATTAACCACCCCATTTTTGGAGGACGGGCTGCATCATGAGACATTCATTACCATTAATTACTTCACAGCATGAACAAGATATATGTTTGGTTAAATGTTATAGTTTTGTACACAAATAATTAGAATGTTAGGGAACTGAATGAACAATTTATTCAAACATGCTAACCTGAGCTAAGACTTTCCTCACAATGGACAGTAAAAAATCTACATTCTTGAAAGAACATTTTGTCTGCAGTACAGTGTAGAAAATATTTGGCATTTTTTGTGAAATACAGTTAATATTTTATTTCAGTGTGCTAGATGGCCAGAAAGAGAGACGTTGCATCTAGTATGGCAAACTTGTTGTACACACCTCAATAACACCATACTTCTGGGTCTCTATGGTGATCATGGCCAGTGAGTCAAGGTAAAAGGTAATCTTATAGTCTGGATGAGTCGACACTCCCAGCAGTTTCATCTTCTCTTCAATCCATTTCATACTCGTGGCAGACCAAATTACGATGTCATAATTCTGGAAACAATGCTCAGCAGTCAGCAAATTCAGTCCTTGATAATATGACAACTGAAGTATATTTAAATACAAAATTTATATGGTATGATAATTTAACATATAAGAATTTATCAAATTAAATGAACTAACCTTAAGATACTCACTGGATACCAATGAATTTCAAAGTAATTTTCCACTTAACTAACTTAACTCTCAGCTTATAAAGAGAGGTTATTGATGCCACACCAGCTGACGTCTCCACAACAAACTTTGGTCATTTATCCTTCCTGTCTAAGTACTGTGTTAAACTAATAAAATAACAAAAAGGAAGTGAGGAAAGAAAGCAATGAACCATTTTAAAACTTTAGTAATGAAGAAGAAATCTCACTCATATTTACTTTGTAGGCAGAGGTAAGAAACTCATGAAGAAACGGCCTCATGAGCTCTGCTCCCGTCTCTGCCGTCGATCGGTGATCAAATAAAGTATAGTCTATATCCAGCACCAATAACTTCTTCCCGGGTCGCATATCATTCAAAATTTTAACTTCATATTCCTTGACTCGCTTCTCAACCTGTGGTACATAATGAGATCAATTTCTAGACTGACAACATGCAAATAATTCACAACACAACAATATGCAGGACAGAAGAGGGAAAATATTGAATGTAATAGCTTTAAATAACGTCTTATGCCATCAATATGACCATCAGAGAACATTTGATAGTGTTGGTACCACTAAACCCTAGGATCATGCCAGACTCTGGAGGCCCACGGTAACCTACTTACAGCTGGGTCCAGAACCTGCTTGTCTCAAATAGGCGAGAAAACCTTGCGACTCAGAAATCTACCCAAAACGGAGGAAAGCCAACCAAAAAGTCAGACAAAACAAACAACTGTCTGAAAGAAGGAAATGAAAAGAGGAAATCAAAGCAAATGATGTTTTGTATGGGTGAACAACTCGTGCCCTAATCTGCCCGGCCATGGCCGTGATTTCCTTTTTTAATTTCCCTTATTTCAATCAGTGATTTGTTTTGTCTGATTTTCTGGTCAGTTTTCCTCACTTTTTAGGTGCTCTATGATTCCCAAGTTCCCCTCAACCTCTGGGACCAGTGCTTATGCGCAGGAAGGTTATACAGTACTGTACTGTAATATAAGCTATGCGATAACAGTAATATTGAAATTTACATCACTGGTTAGTAATTATACAATAATTACATAATTTTATATTTTTTAATTATAAGATACAAGTTTAAAAAATGCTGCTTAACACACATTTATTTTAAAGATAATTAAAACTCACTTTCTGTAAATATTCTGAACGATTTTCAATAGCCACTTCTTCTTCCTCAATATCCAGATCATTTATGACTGGGGGTAAGTCATCTGGAATACGCTGAGCTTCCTCTACACTAGCCTCTAGAGAACCCATCATCATTATCTGAAAAATGTAAAGGTACTTCATCATCCACAGTAAGGTCTTCGTAACTACCTGTGATAGGCATAATGTGTCCCGTTAGGTACTGGCTCAGACCACAATACCCCTGTATACTGTACCTGTATACTGTGCCTGTATACTGAAACCTCAACCTGACCAATGTATTACTGTACACTGAGTAAGTAAATATTTCAGCCCATTCTCGTAATGTGATGACACATCAAACTTGCTGGCCTCACCATACAACCAGCAGTATATTCAAACCAACCAGTGCCTTCATACATCAACTCTACACACATTTAGTGCCTTCATACATCAACTCTACACACATTTAGTGCCTTCATACATCAACTCTACACACATTCAGTACCTTTATACATCAACTCTACACACATTCAGTACCTTTATACATCAACTCTACACACATTCAGTACCTTTATACATCAACTCTACACACATTCAGTACCTTTATACATCAACCCTACACACATTTAGTGCCTTTATACATCAACCCTACACACATTCAGTTCATACAGCAACTCTACACACACATTAGGATAAGGCTGCATCCTCTTCTAGGATTGACTGCCCAACCACTTAGGCCGGATGGTTCAATCCCCGACTGTCCAAGTGGTTGGGCACCATTCCCTTTCCCCCCCCCCCGTCTCATCCAAAATCCCTATCCTGATCCCTTCCCAGTGCTATATAGTCATAATGGTTTGGCGCTTTCTCCTGATAGTTCCATTCCCTTACAGTTATCGACATAAAATATTCACATAATTTTTTAAAGCGCATGACGTATCATAACATTTATGGCAAACAGTAAATTGTGAGCTTTTTAAACAAAAACGTGAGCCAAGGTAAAATAGTCAACTTACCTTTGTTCCAGGTCTTAGGCTGATGGCTCCCATCTTGGTGTCATCATCAGGAGTCTTCCCTGAAGAAAAAATTTAATTTTTCTTAATTTAACTTTCCATGAAAGTTTCCCAAACACAAAAGTAAAATCAATCTATATTGTTTGGAGTATAGTTCTTCAGTCTGTTTACTGCTTATAGAAACCAAGATTGAGATGCTGCCACAGATGAAAGGCATCACACAAATGCACTTAACAAAATTTAGGACATTTAAAAACAGATACAGATATTAGTAAACAGAAAACTGACAAAGAGGACAGATGCCCAAGAGAAAAGAGGAGGCAGAAAGTCCACCAAAGCACCTCACACTGCTGCCTCAAGGAAAGTGGCAAATGTGACACCAAGAGGACTTCTGCCCAATCTTCACACAGGCAAGTGCACACAATGTGGATGCAAAGACTAGCAGAGAGCCTCGAAGCATCAGGTTAGGGAACCCCCATGGAGCCTCAGATAGGACTAGAGGTTAGGACAATGGTGAAAAAGGCCAACAACCCGACCTGGCTACATGAAGTCAGAAGACAAAGACAGCATGCAAAGATCTTAAAGAGATAGGAAGGAGCTAGACCAGACAAAAAAAAAAAAGGTAAAGCCGAGGCAAAATGGATCTGCTGCAAATGACTCACAATCCATAAACGGCACCACTGAGTGAAAACTTGCAATAGAAGCAAGCAAGGCAACCTACAGACAACCAAATATTTTGCTGACATGCTCTGAATTTGAACAGCACTGAGAACTAAATCCAAGAAAGTCACAAGTAAGGCTGGTAACCTGTTGAACATAACATGTATATACAAACTGGATAAGGTTAGATTAAAAAGGAAAAATGGGTAAGTAATAGTTTTGGTTAGAGTATAAAAACAATAATTACTGGGATTTATGGATATGTAATCTTTCTTTAAACAGTACCAATTCAAACATATTTATAATTACAGTATTAAATTAAAAGGCAACTAATCAGACAGTAATTAATATACTCCTCAAAAACATTGGCTGTACTTTCTTTTTTATTTATTTATTTATACTGTACAGTATATACAAAAGGTCTTACATTCTCGTACAGCCACTAATACGCATAGCGTTTTGGGCAAGTCCTTAATCCTATGTTCCACGGAATACGACCCCCACCAAATCGTTTAACAACCTGTTACCCATTTAACTGTTGGGTTAAACAGAGGCTACAGTTAAGGATTTGTGCCCAGTATATGCTCCCCAGCCAGGATACGAACCCAGGACATAGCGCTTGCGAAACGCCAGCGTCTTACCACTACGCTACCTTATTTACCGAGAGCCACCAACCCTAGTGGCCTCGACGAGGACTGGAAGCTGACGGCTTGTTGAAAGTCTTCCCATTTGCCCTGATCTTTTCTAGGTACAGTATATTTTAAAACTCAACACAATTTTGGCAGTTATAGCTTTGGCGGGTAGGCTGTTCCATGGGTTAAAACCCCTGTGGTTGAAAAGGCATCTCCTGTTCTCAGTCCTACATTGTGGCTTGTTGAGCTTGCAACTGTTGCTCCTTGTTTGTATTATATCTGACCTTTTGAAGAAAATATCCAGGTCAACATCCTCCAACTTGTTCAGTATTTTAAAAGTTTCAATGAGATCTGCCCAGTCATGCCTGGTTTACAGTGTTGTTAGCCCTGTGGCCTTAAAGTGTTCCTGATATGGGAAATGACTTGGCTCTGGAATGACATTTGTTGCCCGGTGTTGCACCTTCTCCAGAGCCCTATATTCTGGAAATGACGTCTCCATGCTTGGATACAGTAATCCAAATGGGGGGCGCATCAGAGATTTATACAGTTGAACCATTACCTTCTTTTACTTATAGTCAAATGTATGCTTGATTATCACAAGAATTTGGCTAGCTTTTCTGATTGCTGTACCCACCTTTTGTCCAACCTTTCATGAGTGGTGGATTTTAACTCCAAGATCCTTTTCTTCATCAATCTTCTGTAATGTAATGCTATTAATGTGGTAGTCATGGCATGGGTTGTTATGCCCCACATGCAGGGTCTTGCATTTGTCAATAATAAAAAGCATTTACCAGTATTCTGACCATTTGTAGAGTTTATGTAGATCTCTTTTGTAAGGCTTCAATATCATTATCATTTCCCACTTTACCATAAATCTTTGTTGTCTGCAAATTTGATGATGTGGTTTATAATATTCTCATCTATGTCATTGAAGTATATGATAAAATGGGTAGGTTCCAAAACAGACCCCTTGTGGCACCCCACTTGTTACATTTCTCCATTAAGATTCATTTCCATTTAGCACGACCCTTTGTTTTCTTTCCTTCAACCATTGTTTTATCCATTCTAATATTTTACCATTTATTCCATGGGCCTGTAATTTCCTTGCCGGTCGTTCATGTGGTACCTTATCGAAAACTTCAGCAAAATCCATGTATACATTCCCCAGAAGGCCCTTGTCTGAGTAGCTGGTTACCGTTTCCAAAAATGTGAGCAAGTTTGTAAGGCAAGATCTGTTTTTAACAAATCCATGTTGTGTCGATTGTACAAGGTTGTTCACTAAAAGATGGTGAATGAGTCCCTTCCTGAGAATTCTCTCCATGAGCTTGCAGATGTGTGATGTCAAGCTGATCAGGCAGTAGTTTTCTGCCTTTTTGGAATATAGGGGTAACATTTGCATATTTCCAATCTAGGCTGAACTACCCCTTGTTCCAGAGATTTTGTGAAAAATTGTTTCAGGGTTAGGCATAGTTCTTCTGCAAGTTCCTTTAAGACTTTGGATTGGATTCCATCCACACCTGGGGCTTTGATTCTTTGAGTTGGTCAATGTTCTTTCTAATTATTTTGTCATGTTATGGCTATATCCCTAAACTCATTCTTCTCCCCTCCTTCCCACATCCCACTTCCCCCTCCCACATTTGTGTGGGTGATGGGATGTCATCCAATCTTTCGAGTGTGAACACTGATGTTTCCTGCCCTTTTATCATCCATTATAGCTTAATCTTTCTTTATGTTTTGGGCAAGTTTTCTTTCCTAGTTTCTTTTGGCTGCTCTGATTTTCTAAGTGGCCGAGTTTAGTGGCCTTTTGTATATCTCACAATCAATGATGTCCATCGTCGATTTATACGATCTCCAGAGAATCCTCTTGGTTACCAATGCTCGTTTTACAACCTGTGTCATCCATCTTGTTATCTTTTGTGTCTTTCTTCTTTTTGGCACATTTTTTAACAAGTTCCATGATGACCCTGTTGAAATTTTGCCATGCTACTTCCATGCCGTGTTCACCCATCAGCTCAGGAGATGCCCAGGAGATGGTTTGCAGTTACTCTCTCATTCCTTGATAGCCACTTCGCTGGTAATCTAGAAATTCGTCATCTTTGACCTTCATGTGGGTTTTTATATTTGTAGTCCATCTTATAATATGATGGTCGCATGAAGGGAGTTAGCTTTTCCCACACAAGAATTTGATTAATCATATCCCCTTCTGTTGTTAGCACAAGCTCTAGTATGATGTTACCAAGTGTGGGCTCTACCACATGCTGTATGAGGAAGCTGTATTCACCGAGTTTCTACACAAGGTCGAGGAATTGCTCACCTTCTGCTCAAGATGTTAGTTGATCCAATCTATGGTCTCGTGGTTGAAGTCCCTCATTATTAGGGTTTGGGTTTCAGATGCCGCATTGATCACATTATGCAGAACCTCAATTTCCTCTGCCGCTGCTGCTGCTGTCAGCCCTGTAGCATACTCCCAGTCATTTTGCTACCATCTTGAGTTAGTATGTTGCACCATACAGACTCTGAGGAGCCTATGGTGTTCAGTTCCTCATTGTTGGTTGTATCCAGGTCCTCTTTCATATATAGTATCACACTACCTGTTCTTGTTATGCTGTCCTTTCTGAATGGTGGGTGGTGTTCTGGGAGATAGAATTTCCCTTCTATTATGTCCTCTCGGCTCCATGTTTCACTGATGCCAATGATGTCGGGATTTTCAGCCTCAGCATATGCACATAATGTCAAATTTATTTACTAGGCTTCTGGCATTTGTGTAGAAACAATTTAAACTCCTAACATTATTCCTGGGGCTGAGAGATTGCTCCTGTATTTAGCACATAACCATTCTGTACATTTCTGGTTCTGAACCTGTTTGTTTTTAGTTCTGCCTGACTGGGTAATGGGTTTTAACTCTTCCCCCCCACCATCTGCAATCTGGATAACGTGTCCTCTCTTGACCCTTTGCTTTGCACTTTTGTATTGTTCTGGGTTTTAAACTTCCTTCAGTTTGACTCTTAGCACCCTCTCATCTTTTGCTGTTCAATAGTGAGGTCTGGAGATATATATACTGAGTACTTAGTTATATCTCTCGAGATCTTTGAGTTTGTGGGCATGGTTTAGTATCTTTCTTCTGTGCTCAAAATTTACAATGGTTATTCTTACCATATTTGCTTCAATCCTACCCAACCTCCAGACATCTGATATTCTTAAGTATTCCACCTTGCCTGTCAGTTTCTCTAACATTGTCTCCATGAGGTCTTTGTCATTATTGTCTTCTTTCCCGAGGTTTGTTATAATGAGGTAATTTTTTTAGTCTATGCCTATCCATAGTTTCTGTGTCTCTTTCTTGACCACCTGCACCCCTATCGGAACGACCACCTGCACCCCTATCGGAACTCTGCCAGCATTCACCGACTTCACCCCGAGTGTCTGAGTCCCCCCTCCATCCCCAGGGAGGCCTGGTTGGCCCGGGGCCTGTCCATAGGTGTATTATCTATTTTTTTTTTAATTACTCAACTGTACTCAATCTTGAGGTTATCTTGAGATGATTTCGGGGCTTTTAATGTCCACGCGGCCCGGTCCTCGACCAGGCCTCCACCCCCAGGAAGCAGCCCGCGACAGCTGACTAACACCCAGGTACCTATTTTACAGTTAGGTAACAGGGGCATAGGGTGAAAGAAACTCTGCCCATTGTTTCTCGCTGGCGCCCGGGATCGAACCCGGGACCACAGGATCACAAGTCCAGCATGCCGTCCGCTCGGCTCCCCAAGAACAAATCTACAAAACCATGCTGTTCCAGTTTGTGAGGCACATAACCTTAAGTGATAATCCCTTACAATAAGGCGTATTACATATCCTCTTCAATTATGAAACTTTACACCCAGATTGTATTTGAACACTTGGACCTGCAGCCACAAACTGCTGTGTACAAATGGATGTCATTCATCACTCACCTTTCAACTTGAGATTGAGTAACTTCTGCCTGTGAGGTCTGACACATGTCTGCTTCTCAATGGCATCCTTAAAGTCCCTGACGGTCATGACGGAGTCGTCCACCTCGATGTCGTACTCCTTGCCGTTCCACTTGACAGTGATGGACTTCATTGTGGGAGGCGGGTGCCTCTCCTCTCCTTGCTCCTTACACGACACTAGCGACTATGGTGGCTATATATACACACACCTCTGCCGTCTCACTTGGTTAGTATTGGTGACTCGCCACTCATCAGTGTGTGGTAGGAGTTTAAGGGGAAATGGTCGCCAGAATGGCCATCCAAGCCGACTTTGTGGGTGTTTACTGATGACGTCACGCCAGCTGCCCGGCTCCTCCTTCACAACTTTGACTTCAATTGTCCTCAATGGCTCTCCTCTAAGCTCATTAACATTTTGCTATATACACCTTGCACCCTCGCTGCCTTATATTAACTCCGTCTCCGTCTATAACTCTACTTATCTTTATATGAAACTAAATAATGCACAATGCGTTTCGGAGTTATAAATCCGGATTTCAATTTACGAATCCAGAACATCTGTCATCGCCAGTCTTAAATAATATATTTGTATTATTTTGATCCATTTAAAACCTACTGCATTGTATAACCCCAACGGTGTGCAGGAAGAGCATAAGAATATGATGCTACAAGTGGCCAGACACTAGCCATCAGTGAAGATGACTGTGAACATGTCTCCTGGTGACTCACGCAGATGACAAGAAACATATAGTCGGCCGGCACCTGGTCGAGGGGTCATTGTCACACTTGTTCTTTATAGTCATGCTAATGGCTCTCTCTTCTTCTCAAATGATGCACCACACTTTTATAAACAAGTTAATTACAATATATATATATATATATATATATATATATATATATATATATATATATATATATATATATATATATATATATAATATTTATGTTGTACACTTTAGTATACAGGGTTACATAGTAAATGTTACATATCTGATTTGTTACAAATCATGGACATTAAGAGGAAATTAAGGGAAGCTTGTTTCCTAGAAGCTGTAGATTTCTTTGAACTCCTCCGACGGCGCGGGCAGGAACTGAGGACGCAGCAGGCATTCCCCCTCTGGATTGCCACACTGAGGCGCTGGAAGAGAAAACTTGCCGCTCTAGGGTTCAATGAGCTTGTAGCTTGTAGCCTTGTAGCTTCAATGAGCCTGTAACCAAGATCCTTAAGAAACCTTGCAATCTCTCCCCATCAGAGGTCACGACCTCTCCGTACGATGCAGTCGCAGCTCCACAGATCTCCAGTATCAGCTATTGATACTGGTAATGGCTCCAAAGGGCCACCACTTACAGGCTATTCATGCCCGTTTTACCTTTTGGGTGGCTTAATATTCATCAATCAATCAATCTCTCCCCATGGACCGAGGGTCTCGGATCCTATTGGAGCGAAGTTATACCTGTGATCTATTTTTTTTTTTTTTTTTTTTTTGAGATATATACAAGAGTTGTTACATTCTTGTACAGCCACTAGTACGCGTAGCGTTTCGGGCAAGTCCTTAATCCTATGGTCCCTGGAATACGATCCCCGCCGCGAAGAATAGTTTTTTCATCCAAGTACACATTTTACTGTTGCGTTAAACAGAGGCTACAGTTAAGGAATTGCGCCCAGTAAATCCTCCCCGGCCAGGATACGAACCCATGACATAGCGCTCGCGGAACGCCAGGCGAGTGTCTTACCACTACGCCACGGAGACTTTATTTCCCTGTACTTGGATGACTAGTCTCTTTCTGTGTGTGTCGCCGCAGCTCCTGCTTGGCCGACAGAGTGGTTGATGCATGTGGTTGCCAGGGTGGATATGCATGTATAGTCCCACACCAATTGTCTGCCATTTTTCCAAGGGCGCCATGTGATTCCATCTGATCGGCCAGAAAAGTTAACAGAGTTAACGTTCAGTAGATTGCGAGGCTCAATGGTGAAGTGGGGAGAGTGAGCAGTGTGGTGAAGTGGGGAGAGTGAGCAGTGTGGTGAAGTAGTGAGAGTGAGCAGTGTGGTGAAGTGGGGAGAGTGAGCAGTGTGGTGAAGTAGGGAGAGTGAGCAGTGTGGTGAAGTGGGGAGAGTGAGCAGTGTGGTGAAGTAGTGAGAGTGAGCAGTGTGGTGAAGTAGGGAGAGTGAGCAGTGTGGTGAAGTAGTGGGAGTGAGCAGTGTGGTGAAGTAGTGGGAGTGAGCAGTGTGGTGAAGTAGTGAGAGTGAGCAGTGTGGTGAAGTAGGGAGAGTGAGCAGTGTGGTGAAGTAGGCAGAGTGAACAGTGTGGTGAAGTAGTGAGAGTGAGCAGTGTGGTGAAGTGGGGAGAGTGAGCAGTGTGGTGAAGTGGGGAGAGTGAGCAGTGAGGTGAAGTAGGGAGAGTGAGCAGTGTGGTGAAGTGGGGAGAGTGAGCAGTGTGGTGAAGTAGGCAGAGTGAGCAGTGTGGTGAAGTAGTGGGAGTGAGCAGTGTGGTGAAGTGGGGAGAGTGAGCAGTGTGGTGAAGTGGGGAGAGTGAGCAGTGTGGTGAAGTAGTGGGAGTGAGCAGTGTGGTGAAGTAGGCAGAGTGAGCAGTGTGGTGAAGTAGGCAGAGTGAGCAGTGTGGTGAAGTAGTGAGAGTGAGCAGTGTGGTGAAGTAGTGAGAGTGAGCAGTGTGGTGAAGTACTGAGAGTGAGCAGTGTGGTGAAGTACTGAGAGTGAGCAGTGTGATGCAATAGGGAGAGTGAGCAGTGTGGTGAAGTAGTGAGAGTGAGCAGTGTGGTGAAGTAGTGGGAGTGAGCAGTGTGGTGAAGTGGGGAGAGTGAGCAGTGTGGTGAAGTAGGCAGAGTGAGCAGTGTGGTGAAGTAGTGGGAGTGAGCAGTGTGGTGAAGTGGGGAGAGTGAGCAGTGTGGTGAAGTAGTGAGAGTGAGCAGTGTGGTGAAGTAGTGGGAGTGAGCAGTGTGGTGAAGTAGGGAGAGTGAGCAGTGTGGTGAAGTAGTGAGAGTGAGCAGTGTGGTGAAGTAGTGGGAGTGAGCAGTGTGGTGAAGTAGTGGGAGTGAGCAGTGTGGTGAAGTAGTGAGAGTGAGCAGTGTGGTGAAGTAGTGAGAGTGAGCAGTGTGGTGAAGTAGTGAGAGTGAGCAGTGTGGTGAAGTAGTGGGAGTGAGCAGTGTGGTGAAGTAGGCAGAGTGAGCAGTGTGGTGAAGTAGTGGGAGTGAGCAGTGTGGTGAAGTAGGCAGAGTGAGCAGTGTGGTGAAGTAGTGGGAGGAGAGAGAGAGTTTGAGCATGGCGGGGTGGGACGGACCAATAGGGCGGGGGCAGGCGCCGGGGGACCAATCACAGGGACCAACAACTCCACGTCAAGCTGCAGTAAGCTGACGGCAGGCGTCACGAGGAGAGGCACCCACACTCGTCCCGCTCATACCTCAGCCTCCTTCCCAAACACACACATACGCCATGGCCGAACAGTAGGTTGTGGTGGGCTTTGGTGCCATTTTTGTCGCCGGAGAAGTGAGAGTGAAGTGAGGGGTTGAGGCTGGTGTGGGAGAGCCGGGTGGCTGAGGGTTCGCAGGGGTTGGAGGGGGGGTGTCGCACATTTGACCAACATTACAGGCGGGAATGACAGTTTTTCAGTGGTTATTTGGATGTGTAGTGAGATGTGGGGAGTGCGGAGGTGGCTGGGTGCTGCCTCGTGCGTGCTGGGACAGGTGGAAGGGGAGGCGGTGTGGGTGCCGTGGGAGAGGCGAAGCAGCGTCAATCTACCTTCAATTTTGCTCCGTCACCTCGGGAGCCTGGGCGAGCAGGCCGTGCTTCCCTCCACCACTTTACGCCACTATTGGCCTCCTGCTGCGGGTGCGGGAGCCGCAGCCCGCCTCCCGCAAGCATGGCGGGCCTCAGGGTGCGGCAAGTGTGCGGCGCTGGCCGATATTAGTCCCGGAATTGAAGGTGTTTACAGGAGACAAAGGCAGGAGAGAGGACGGGGTCCCGCTCAGCTGATCCCGGCGGGCCCCGCTCTGGGCCCCCTGGACGTGTCCACGACGGGCCCGCCACACGTCCACGCCAGCCACCTCTAACACCACCTACTACCTGGGCCATGATGGGCCCCAGTACTGGGCCCTGGCCTCCAGCAGGCACCACCTGCTGCAGGAGGGTCACTATATCCAACACGGGTCATGACTTGCACCTTGTTAGCTGTCTTAGCATGGTCATGTTGTTAAGATGCGGTGTTATTGTTACAACTTTCTTGTGTTGGAAGTTATAACAATAACTTTCTTGTGTTTGAAGTTGTTATAACTTCCTTGTGTAGGTGAGTGTGGTCCATGACTCAGGCGGGTGAGTCATGGGGAACCTGCTCAAGACTGGTCCTCATGGCTCAAACTAATATTTTTGGTCACGGGTGCATTATACCACTGTTACATTATACCAAAGTTGCATCATACCACGGTTGCATTATACCATGGTTGCATCATACCACAGTTGCATTATACCAAAGTTGCATCATACCACGGTTGCATTATACCAAAGTTGCATCATACCACGGTTGCATTATACCAAAGTTGCATCATACCACGGTTGCATTATACCAAAGTTGCATCATACCACGGTTGCATTATACCAAAGTTGCATCATACCACGGTTGCATTATACCAAAGTTGCATCATACCACGGTTGCATTATACCAAAGTTGCATCATACCACGGTTGCATTATACCAAAGCTGCATCATACCACGGTTGCATTATACCAAAGTTGCATCATACCACGGTTGCATTATACCAAAGTTGCATCATACCACGGTTGCATTATACCAAAGTTGCATCATACCACGGTTGCATTATACCAAAGCTGCATCATACCACGGGTGCATTATACCAAAGCTGCATCATACCATATAGGTCTTATAACCCATGTTCAGCCATGGGTTATAAGACCTATCCAAGCTGACCTAATGCTATGCATTTTGTTCTGATATACAACTGTAGATTATAATTTGAATAATTGTACCCCACTGTTTCCATGAGCTTAGTTGTTGCAATCCTACACATGCACATGGCCAGTATGGCCTCTTTCAATGGTTTTGTTGTAGTCCAACCTTGAAAGTTCAAAATTTGCTTCCTAATAAAGGTATAATTTTACCTTAACCAGGCCAGCAATGCTTGTGTGTACCTAGTGAATCTCAAGTTTTATTTTACGCACTGTTAGTAAACATGCGAGGACGGGCTCATGGTGTAATAAGTTCTTAATTAAAGATGGCATATTTTAGCCATATTTAAGGTACCAAATAAAACAAGGTTAAACAACCCTTGGCTCACAAGTGGCATACTTAAAGCAATTAACAAGAAACACGAATATGAAAACGAAACATTGACTTTGGCCTAGTTACAATAGTAGTAGTTAAGATACTCATCAGTGCTTACCAATATAATACAAAGAGCCAAAGCTTCTTTTTATGAGAATAGATTTAAAGAAGCAAAAGGAAATATGAAAAGTACATGGAACGCCATCTCTAACATCTAAGGGTCTAAACAAGTCGCATAATAAACAGATAAAACTACAAATATGGTTACACATTTGTGACACTTTAATATTGCAACTGAATTCAATAGCTTCTTTTATCAGTTGGTACTAACCTTGCCAGAAAAATCAGACTCGAACACGTTACTACATATCTCGCCGGCAGCTATCCTAACACTATGCCTTTTACCAGTAAGCCCGACACATTATATCCATAATTCAATCTCTTAAAACCAAAGCTGGGAACATGAATTAAATACCATCTATGATATACAAGATGATTGATTGATGAAGATTAAGCCACCCAAAAGGTAGCACGGGCATGAATAGCCCGTAAGTGGTGGCCCTTTGGAGCCATTACCAGTATCAATAGCCGATACTGGAGATCTGTGGAGGTGCAACTGCACCGTACAGAGAGGTCGTGACTTCTGGATATATGAGTGTGCTGCCCCTGCTCTTGTTCCACCCATAGGTCTGCTATTGAACAAATCTCTCGAGTGTCGTACTTCTCCTGATGTCCTTATAAAAGCAAGAGTGACGCCAGTTCATAAATAAGGCGAGACTGCTGACATAAACAATTAGACCATTATCGAATCTACCTATATTTTCAAATATATGAAAAAATTGTTTACAAACCGTTCTATTCCTACTTTGTAAGACTCAACATGTTAAGTCCAAGCCAGTTTGGCTTTCGTTCCCAAAAGCATACCAATGATGCCATTATTTGTCTGCTTAATATAATCTACACAGTTTAGAGGCAGGACCAAAGAACCAAAGCCCAACCCCCACAAACACAACTAAGCGAGTACAGCCCTTGACAAAAATGAGTTCCCAATTGGCCTCTGATTAACCTGGGAAAGGTCTTTGATACTGTAAACCATAACAACCTCTTGGCCTATATCCCAAAAATATTCGTCCAAAAATAAAATGTAATACTGTACTGTGTGGTAAAACATCTCGCATTGTATGGCATCAGCCTCTATGAAAATTTCATCCCAATAATGTTAAGAATTGGGGTTTTATGAGAATTTTATTAAGCCATGCACAACCAGTACAGATAATAACACCACCAATTTACTGGAACTCTGGGATAAAGAGATGCAAGCACCTGTCTGACGCATGGAAGAATAATAGTAGTAAGGAGAGTCCACAAAGTGGATATGCAGCTGGTGCCTTCTAGGAATGCTGATTGCCACCTGGAGAGCAAAATTTCACACAAATAATAATGAGCGTGTATGTCATTTTGCTGTATTTTTTTATATTGTATAAATACATTGCCCAGTGCTAATATTTGTCCTCCAAATTTGTTGTATAGAGGGGGATTTTTTCTTCTCTCCTATGTTTATCTGATTTTGTTGTGGCGTCTACATATTGGAGAATACATACCCATCACTAAGTACTGTGTGTGAAGTTGGAATGAAATTGGTCAACTTGTAAATCAGCCACAGGTGGCAGAACTTAATTATTTTCAGATTTCAAACTTTTTTTTTCTTTAGTCTCTTAGGTTGTTTTGCTGAATGGGGACCAGATGAGGGCTTTATCACTTATATAAAGTATACTTGTATATCCTCTTAACACATTATCCTTATTATATTTTGTTTGGGGGGACTATTTTTTCTTGACTTCATTTCGACACAAATTGACCTACAACTTTCACATATTGAGTATAAATGCCAAGCAATGTTTATTGAAACTTACAAGGAAATCCATGCAGTAGAAATATCATGTATAATGCTGAGAACTTGAACTAAAAATTTTGCTATAACTTTGAGACAGCTTTAAATATTCACATTTTTTTTTTTGTTCATGTTACGATGTTGATACATTATCAAAAGTTGGTACATTTGCCATGTCGAATATGCAGAAAAAAATATCAGCTTGAGCAAGTTTGTGGAAATTGGATCAGGGCCTCTTAAACTTCTCCACAATGGTATAAGAGGCCTTGCTCTGGGTTATGTTCGTTTCTATCTCGTGACATACCAGTATGAAGCCATCAATAGCATAACCTTCCCCACTCCTCCATTGGCAGTAGGAGTGCCGTAGGGCAGCATCTTGGAAACTTCTATTTCTTACATACAGCAATGATGCCACATGTTTTTTAACATTGTTAAACCTATACTACATTATTTGCTGATGATACTACCTTCATCTATTCTGACCCCAACCCCCACACACTAAATATTGTCAACAATGAATTAAAAATAAGAAGGTCCACTCATGGATGTCAACCAACAAACTTACAGTAAACATAGAAAAGACCTACTACATTTTTTATTGTAGGTCATTACCTTAATTCGGTAGTAAATTTGGTAGTAAATCAAATCAAATTCAACTTCAGATTGACAATGTTAACATTACCAAAAAAAAAAAAAAAAAAAAAAAAGTGCCTTGACCTATACATAGACAAGACATAGACTGAACTTCAGCACCCACATACAACACAGCCAAAAGTCTCAAACGGTTGGTATACCTGCTAAAATCAGATACAGTATATTATATTCCCAATTCTGCTCTCCTCTGTTATACTATGCACTAATTTATCCCTGTCTTGCATACAATATCTGTGCATGGGGTTCAACCACTGCAAATTACCTCAAGCCTATCATTACTCGGCAAAAATCTGCTGTCTTCAGACACAACAGCCATGTTTAAGTCTCTTAACATGCTAAACACACGCACTCCACATATTCTCATGTGCTATCTACATATACAAAACCTTGTTTCTAAATACTAATCTTGAACTGAAACTTTTCCATGACAGGTGTAATAGAACCCATGAGCACCACAACAGAAATAAATCTTTGATATCTCCGGAGTCAGACTAAATCTGTGCAAACACTCCATGTAAATAAAAGGGCCCAGTCTTTGGAACACTCTCCCTGATGAATTAAAAAGTTGTCCAACTCATCCTCTGTTCAAAAGTAAAACCAAAGTGTACCTAATTTCATCCTCATAGTTTCCTACCTTGTGCTTCAAACTCTGTGTATCTTGTACTACCCACTTCCCAATATTAGTACTTAAGGGGCCTTCAGTTCCAAATATGCCAAAAATATGCAATCAATGAAAACTAGTTCGATTTCAATCAAACTTTTTTGACTAGTTGTATATGAAAAGGGTTTCATCTGGTCCAAGTCTCAGCATTGTAGCATAAATAGAAAGGGAGGAAAAAAATTGTCATTTTTCCAAAATGGTAAAAAATTATCCAACACAAGTGCCAACTGAAATCATGTCTGACTCGGCTATCACAATAGCATATACAGGTTTTAAAAAAATTAATAATTAGTTTTAGCACCAAAAAAAGTTATATTTTTTTTTTTTTTTTTTTTCTTTATTGGATGATTTGCATGAAACTTATACACCTGACTGCATGTAAGCCTCTCACCCGTGTGG